ACAATTTAATTGAAGGTGATCGATGATAAGAACATATTACGTCAATTCTTGCAAAAAGATATTTTTAAAAAATAAACAAAAAATATATGACAATATCACAGTCAAACAGTTAAATTACTTTACAAATCTATTATATTATGTTTTCGTCACGTTAACCATATCTAGCTGTGCCGATTTCGTTAAGCCGAAATCGGTCAAGAAGTACCTAACTACTTTGACTGACGAGAACCGATTTGTGACAACACAAATGTTCAATAATTTCTTCCATGTCTTTCTCCCGACAACTTGGATAATGTTAAACTAATAATGGCGTAGTGTTTTTTAAAAATAAATATGATATCTATATGCAATATTATAGAAATTATCAAAAATTAGTTATATGGAAGGACTATCCTAAAAACTTTTGAGGCGTCAATTTATTTTTTAAAATATTACTGACGGGTGAAGAAAAGGAATAGTCTGAAGGAATAGTTTTTTATTTTCTTGAATAATTTTCAGATATTTTGTTATCTATTCACAGCAGTTGTAATAAAAACATATAAGTATTTTCTTAAATTTAGTATCCTATTGCGACGAATATCTTAGGACGACCCTTTGTGTGACTAGATCCAACTCGAATTAACTATTGGTCCACACACTAAAGTTAATCTATTTTCTGCTGTTCTGTAGTTATACACATTCAATATTTACCACTTAGACATATGATGTTTAAAAAACTTTTGTGTTTCTAATTCAAGTCACTCGAACTTGCTAGTGTCTGATAACAGCTTTATATCAATATAATTACTTGCATTACTTAAAGGCAGTTGGCATAGTGCATAAAGAATTATATTAGATATATTATAAGTAATTACTCACTTTTAATTTTATGGTACAGTTATCAAGTAGATAGCAGTCAATAAGATATGATAATCTATTAGTTAAATAACGAAAAGTTTTTGCACATTATTATTGTTACTTCATATGTAATTTATTTGGTTTATTTTTTTAATCCAAATAATCGCAGTCAACTATAATGTATTATTTAAAAATATATAAGTACTCTCTCATACTGCATACATTATTATTTAATAAATAGTTTAGTATTTTAGTTGAAAATCATACGTCCTCATGCGCTATCTCAGTTGGCATACATTTTTACACATTCGTAACCTCAAGATACTTGTTGCATGTTGTCGTTAAACTAATTACTTCTTTAATAATCAATACTGTGAATAATAACTGACAAATACTAATCAAACTGACCTACTTATCGTATAGAAGAACAGCTTAGCTATGCTCAGATCAAGATTCTTACTGCTGGTACGTGTATTTATAATTAATTACTTTATTATGTTGAAGTATTTTACGGCTAATCGCATAAATGCAATTAATTCCAATTTGTGTTTAATTTACAGTATAAATAAAGGCTGGCATTAATTATGTGGAAAATAGAATGCAGAAAAACCAGTGTTGCACAGCTGTTTATACTATAACAAAATACTATCCAATACTTTATAATTGCTGAGATTGAAATGCATCTGATTCTACTAGAAATTGAAGTAATCATGACATGTGAATGTATTTTTAAGCAATTACTGAAATTCTTTTAGTTTAACTTTTTAATGAGAACTAATTATTAAATATATATATACTGTAAAAATATAATAATAAATAATGCCATTCTTATTGTAAGCAATAACTTTTTTTTTTAAATTAAATTGCAATCAAAAGCTTCTAACTTTTTGATAAAAATATCAACAAAACATTTTTTTTTAACTGAAAATTTTGAAAAAAAAAATTATACTCACTAATTGGTGACCTAATCTTTTGTAAGAATTAAAATTTTTTTAAACAAGATTTTAAAGAAATCATGAATGATTAATAATGTAATCCACGCAAAAATATGTGTCATACTAAAACCCTTTGAATATAATTTGTCATAAAAATTTTTATTAAATTATGTAAGATAATTAATTATGAGGCTTAATATTCAAGACTTATATGGTAAATATACCCTTGAATTAATTTACAAAACCACACCCTATAGCAGTTGATTTTGTTTAAAAGAAAATTATAAAATTTTTTTTATTAAAATTGTTTTTTTTACTTTAAGTACCAAAAATGGGAACAATATGTTTCACTACATTAACTACACAAAAAAAAAAAATTATTTGAAATAATAAATAATTTTTCTTTTGAAATATAGCACAAAAAAATTACTTGTATAAAAATCTATAAAAAAAAATTCCAAAAATATTTGAATTACAAAAATAAATATAAGATACAAAATATTTTTTTTATAGAATTTTTTTTTAAATTTCGATAAGGCGCTATGAGATGAGCACTTAATTTTTTATAAAACGAAATCAATTAATAAAGATAATAAATAAGTGATTGCTGTAAGTGAATTTTCCGCCCCACATTTCAGTGCTTAATCATACTCTAGGGAAAATATTCAATTAAAAAAAAAACTTTTTAGTGTTATATTCGCATTGAAAACGCTAGGGATTTTAACACTTTGTATCTTCGTTTACAATCCATCGTTGGGCATTTGTAAATAATGACCCTAGCGCACCCAAAACACTCATTGACATTAGAATTAAGTATTTAGCATTTTTTATTTTTTATTTTATTTTATTTGCTTTATTGACAAGTCAAGGTGGTTAGAGTTAAATACTTTTTTTAAAACCTCAATTTGAAATGTATTGGTCAGTTCAGTGTTATTTATACTCTACATTTAACTAAATTGTAATAGACACATATATAATATTACTATATCAAATATTTTAAGATCAACTAAGTATTGTTAAAGCTAATAAAAAGATTTTTAAATTACATATTAAATAAATTGTTTTTAACTATAAGTAACTATATTGTATATTCTAGTACACAACTCTTTAAACTCTACTTCTTTCGCTAGTGTACTGTCTTATGTTAATAGAGTTATCTTCGAAATAATATAAGACACATAATTTTAATATATTTTATTCATATCAGGATTATTAAAAAAAAGGATTGTGCACTGCGACCTAAAAGATCTATTGTGCCCCTTACTCGGGTAAGAGTGTTTCTTCAAGTTCGATTTCTTTAATAAGAGACAGTATAGAGCCTATCTTTCCTAGTCTTGAATCTTTATGATCCATGAAATGTCCTCCTAGGTGTTTCTTCCGCTTGTGCATCAGTGGCGGGCACTCCCCAAGCACATAGTATGCAGTTTCTCTCTCTTCACATTTCAGTATAGAAGAGTTGTAAAATAAATTATATTAAATGAATTAAATTAAAATAAAATTTTTTTTCAAATTAAAATATACTTATAAAGCGGGCACAAATATGAATATTGTTTTATGTTCAGTTTGCTTTTCGGATTCAATTAATGTTAATATTAATAAAACAAAGTATTATGTTGTAAAATTTTAGTTCCAATCCATCTTACTTATAGTCTAATAGGTATTAAAAAGAATATAAGAATAGTACTAACACATATGTTTTTCTAAGTTTATGTCAAGCTGTAATGTTAAATGATAATGATAGTGTTTATAAAAATAAAAATTATATATTTATTCTAATGCTGCTGTAATATACTGCATATTGCAGTAGAATAAAATAATAAAATATACAATATTCTCTGTGATATATAATTCTCTGTGAAAAAGTTTATTTAACATTTATTAGTTTTATAAATACAAAATATTGTCGATTCTATGACAGTAGGAATCTAAAAATGATTCAGAAGAAAGCATTACCTTTATGAAGAGAAATATTTAATTATATTTTTGGATAAAAATCTACCCATTTAGTCTTAATTTCTTAAAAATGAGCATAAAAAAAATACAGTCAATCATTTAAATGTCGTTTAAATAATTGTAATAATGAGTGTTTGCAAATACGAAACTAAAAGTTAAAAATTTTAACAAAATGGAGCCTAAATTACATTTAAAATCTTAAAATAATTTTTTAATAATCATCGTTTAGTGCAGGGCTGTCCAAAGCACGGCCCGCAGGCTACATGCGGTCCGCAATATGTTTTTAATCTACTACAATTAAAAATTTTCTTTTGGTGTAGTGCTAAAACTACATTATTTTATTTTTATGGTATACCAAATAAATGAATTTAATTTGATAAATTAATAAAATTTAGTTTAACATTATAACCATATTTTTTGTCGAAAACAGCTATGATCCTCCAATTTGTATTGGCCCGCGATCGTATCTGGTCTGGTCACCCCTGGTTTAGTGCAAAAAAAATTTTAAAATTTTTATCGCCACTTAGTCTTTAAATAATGTAAAATGATTTTTTAAAATGTCACACAGCATATGAACAAAATCTAATTCATATTAATTACATACAACGTAAATCTTTTCACTCCACTAACGCAAAATATATACAAAATTTAATTTATTTTAATTACTAAGTCACTTTACTAGATCAAACAGTAATTGCTCAACTTAACTCATATGTTATATTGTTTGTATTTTTTTACAGAATTACAAACAATTATTTTTAGGCTATCTTTACTTAACTTTAAATTCTACTTAATTTATATTATTTTTATAAAATATGTATTAATATATAAAGCATGACGAACTAATTAGTGAGGTCTTTTAAAACTAATAAGTATTAATTTTAGATTAATAGGACAAGACTTCAACAATTATGCATCAACAAGTGACAACAACAACTAATATAACCTATTATTATAGAAGTAGCGTAAAAACTATTTTATTTTTTATATTGAAAAGTCCACTTTACAAGTTTTTTAGTTTTGAGTTCTAAAATTATTCAATTGTTTGTGAAGGAATTAATTTAACTTAATAAGCTTATTTCCATTGTCTGAGGTGCTGATGTAATTTGTCAGGTTATTGATAGGAAAGGTTGAGATAAACACGAACATTTACATACACACTCAATTACAAGTTCTCCGCAAACATAAATAAAACAATTATTATTGCAAAATTTTGATTAGTTAACATAGGAAATGTCATAAATAACAATTTTATTTCGTGGCCACTTCACTTACCGCAAAAACTGCATCCCAAAATAATGCAAAAACCTTAAGTGTTTGCGTCGAACAAGCCATTTTCGTAAATTTATACTATTTTCAATTATTTATTATTTTCAATTAAATTAATAATTAAATAAATTAATGAATAAATAAATATTGAAATAAATTTCAATTAAAATAATTTTGCAGAAAAATGAAATTACTTCCAGTTGCACTTTTAGTTCTTTCACTTTTGTAAAAATAAAAATAACTTTTCTATTTCTGTATATTTCGCACGAATTTAGTATTTTTTTTTTTAAACTAAAAATAAAAAAAATATTTGTGCGCTACACAACAAATTTTTAGAAAAACACAAAATCGAAAGTTTTGTACAATTTTCAAACTATAAATTTTGTAAAATAAAACGCGTTGCCGCTTTTCGCTAAACCGTAATCATCGCTGTTAAATGCTCAACTAAAATTCAAAAAGTTTGTCTTCATTTCTGTTGTTTTTAGTGCTTTTCTGTTTCGTTTTCAAAACGTTCCCACTTAGTCTGTAATCAGTTAAGAAATTAATGAAAAATGAAACAGTGGCGCGAAATAAGTGAATTAAGAAGAAAACGATGCCAGTGTAAAGAAGCAAACTTATTTTCATATAACATACATATGTATGTGTTAGACTTCCTTTAAATATAAAAATTTATTTAAAATACAATATTTGTCAATAAATAAATTTTTTAATAAATATTTATAATTTTATGTTAACGTTTTTGTGTTTATCTGTTTATCTTTCGGTTATGTTTATTTGAAGCAAAAAATTCGTTCGGATTTGAGGGGACCAAAACCATGTGAAATATTGTCACGTATACGCCACCGTGCGCCTATTTAAATTGTCTACTAAATTCCAACAAACTCATATGTTTAGTTCTATTTAATATGCGTAAATTTTTTTTTTTATGAAATTTGTTAGTTTTACTTTTACGATTTACAATTTAAAATAAAAAATAGTATTAAGATTTTAAATAAAATTTTGCGAGAGAATCTATTGAAGCAATCATTTCCCAGTTGTCTATTATCAACATAGAAGATCTGTTATATACTTTCTTTAAACCGAGAGATATTTGAGTGAGCTGTCAGCTGTCAATATAAGTGGGTTAAGTTGCTTTTAAAACATTCGAACATTCGTGGTTCAGAGTACTATTTAATATCTTGAGACAATATAAGAAACCTAAAGTCACAATAAATTTGATGATCTGTGACATATTTAATCCAATTTGTAATTATTTCTAATATTTTTGCTTGAAATCTTTGCAAAATTTCTATATTCGACATTGTTCAACAAAAGTACGTCCTACATACAGATCAGTTACATGGGAACTGAATACAGTAACACTTCATTGTCGATTAATAAATTGTAAGTTTGGATTTAAAATTCACCAGAAAGGCAAATTTTTCTATTATGCGTGAAAGTAACCCAAACTAACTTTGATTGATTGGTCTCAATTTAATATTTATGTATTTAAAGAGTAATTTTAGCTGCTTCTTTTTAGAATATTAAGAGAGAGCTGCTCTTGGAAAGAAATTTATTGTTTCAATAGGTGTTTTGTCATCTATAATTATAACAGTAGTCCTTTGAATTTATACAGTAGATCGCTTATTCGCAGTAAATATTCGATAACATTATTCTTTGGAGTACTCTAAATAAGCTTTTGTGAAGTTTTGATTATTCATCACATTTGGAACGGCTAATGTGACATTCCTCGTTTGTATGGAATCCATAAACTCAAAAGGTTTTAGTTAGAGACATAAAAGGCTTACAAAATTTTCGCTTTTGATATGGTGAGTTTATTAAGCCAGTACTCAGCGAGTTGTTTGTCTTAAAAGTGATTTGTGGCAAATAGTATTATCAAGTAATAATAATAGTTTTTTTGTTAAGATCCATACAACAATATTGACTTGACACTTTCATTGAATATATCAATGTTAGAATTTCGGTAGCGCTATACATACCAATATGATTCACAAATGCACTCGTTATCTTTCATAACTAGTTGACTAAATTTGAGATCTATAGACCATCGAAATATCTACAGGGTGATTATCTCTTAGTGATAAACTACTAAGCTTTATTGATATATATTACTACAGACGTAGTTCTAGCGATGTTATTTCTGAATCACACTTTCTGATATTCCAAATGCACGTTAGCTATTTGTGGCTTTGTTGTTTAAGATTGTACCTACTTAAGATGAAAAACAGGCAGATAGCATATGCTGTATCTACCGATTTATTTCGAGGACCGCAATCAATTTTGGTCTGTTGCATATCAAGGTCTTCGAAGACAACTTCCGACACTAGAATTAAGAGAATAAAGGGAAAAATAAAAAATTATTTTTAGTAAATAAGGATACTATTCTAAATAAGGATACACATCTACTAAAAAAAAGATTCCCATCTGCGCAGGATATAAACATATATAGCTGAAAACTATCTCTAACTTTGAACTGTGGCAATTTCACGGTGGGGCAAAGTGACCCCAAAATATAAATATTCATTGAGAATTTAAGTATGGTATTTACTGTAATAGTATGTAATAGTATAAAATAGTAATATTTGCATTATAATTGACAACATCATTATAGGCATGCACAAAAAAATATGGTATAATATGGTACCCAACCTATAGGTGTGGATGCTTACCTATGGGAACTAACCTGGATCAAACTATAGCCTGACATCAATGGGACAAAGATCGTTTTCAGTAGATGAGAAAAATAATTTTAATATATGAGATCTCAATCGAAAGCATATTAAAAACTTTATTACAATGCAAAAGTGGATTAAAGAATCCACTTTTCGATAGAAATATGAATTTTATCACTTCTGATGTTGGCTTCTTTGTATATTACATATATTATATATATATTAATGTTTAGCTATTTTTAATTAACTCATATGTACAAATTATAAAATTCAAACTTATCAGATTTTAATAAAACATTTAATTTCCAATATATTTATTTATATAAACAATATTCAAATCTTATAAAATGATGGTGACGGAAAAAGAATTTGAATTTTGTTTTTTGTTCAATTAGAAGTGTAACACGTGTCAATTTATAGATACTTCAGAAAAGACTAAGTCAACTAGTTTAAAAATCACTATTAATGTACCAAATTTTAGTCATATTATACTATATATTGCAAAACATATACAAAGCGAATACAGGTTTAAGCACCTGCCACCTACTAAGTACCACCTACTAAGTTAGCTTAGGTTACTGGGGACGTCCGAAGACTCACTTAGACCATGGAGTCCATTGTGATGCCCTAAAGAATTTGACACCTGTCCCTATAACCATTTGGTAAACTCTCTCAACTAATTTGTGGCAAAAATATTAGCTAATATGTACATTAATTTAAGTTTAAATTTAATTTTGTTTAGGACCTAGAGTCGATCTTAATAGCTGATCTGAGAGTTTATTTTTTTCGGTGCTTCTCCTACTTCCTTTAGGTGTTCTTCAAGCCTTACTGATAAGGGTCTTTTTGTTTGTCCGATGTATATTTTGTTGCAGGAGCCACAGTTGATTTTATATACTCCGCATTAATAGCTGGTATCTTTCTACTAAAAGTTCTACCTAACAACTGTTTTTCAATATTTAGTGAAAGCTGTGGTTAAGGTTACTCTGTCTCTAAGATTGCAAACTTAATATTAAGAACATTTAACATTAATTCTACTCTATAATATTTACTTTATTTGCTTATCAGCTTCTAACATATATATATATCCCTTTTAGTAAATATTTAATTCATACGATAATATATCATTCAACATATATTACTCTTCTTTTGTCTACATTCAATTATTTGTTAATTAATGGTAATAAACTTAATATGAAGTATTCTTTTAATAATTAACAGACTTTGTTTTACTAATAAAGCTTTATTAAAAATATAAATACTAGCACATGTGTTAAACAAATATAAATATGAAGCTACCTTTTTAACAAGTTTGAGTTTATAAACATAAACAATTCTATTTGTGTTGCTACATTTAAAATTTTATATTAATTATTTTTAAATTATGAATAAATATTTATTTATAGATATCAAATACATATATCTTTAAAACAAAAAAATATACGTTTTTATATATATTTAATATTAAATACTTTAATAGCAATTTTCACATTATTTATTGTATTCGTATTTTCATTTTTGATTCGTTGCTATAATCTATATGAGCTGCCAATAAAAAACCAAAAAAAAACATTAATATATATAAAAGTATAGAAATAAATATATTTTTAAATTCCGAATCATATAAAATTTATATTAAAATTTTTCCTCAAATAAGCTTTGAACTAAATTTAAATAAAAACTAACAATTTATGTCTAAAAATGCAAAGAATCATATTTTGTTCAATAATATTAATTTATGCATAATTAATATTAAGTTAAATTTTAAAAAAATTTTAACAGATGCATATACATATATATATTTATATATAGTAATTGAATTAATCTCAATTTAATTTTACTTTAGAAGTTAATAACAAATTTAATTTGATTTAAATTTAATAAAATATTTCAATATTAGCTTTATTTTAACATTTGACTTGTTCGCACAACACATTTATACCAATTTTTGGTTAAAATCTTAAAGGAAAGTATAATAAAAACTACAATGTATTAAATTAGTTTATAACATAAATAGTTTTCTTAAAATAATTTATTTGTAGAAAAAAGATTAAAAGTAGGCACGCCTATTATCATTTCGTATGCTGTTGCAGAGACAACAGGCTATAATGCTGCTTATGAACTGCAAGAAAATAAGAGTAATAATTACTTATAGTCAAATTGGAATAAATTTAAAATTTTATATTTACCTCCAAGGCAATCATAATCCAGGCTAATATATTGAATATATGCAGCAGATCGATCCAGTAGTTCTCGAATTCTATACGGCAACCATTCGTGATTAAATTCTCAGTCTTTGTGTTGTCGTTATTTTTGAAGCAAGTGGCCGGTGGCAAGCGTTCATTGACAATGTAATCCTGAGGACTGGCACGACCACAGCAATCGAACTATTAATAATAATATATAGAATAATGTTTGATGTGATTTATTTTATTAAGTAAACTTACCCAGTTTTCATATAGTGACATAGCACCTGGACTCTTCAACTCTTCTTCCCAAGCTGTGTCCAAAGAATTCGCCAAGTTTGATGCAACAGAATTTTCGCCTCTTATCAAAAGAAAAGCTACTGCTGCTTGTGCTAATATTATCACATATAGGAATACCAAAAACTGCAAGTAAAATTATAAAAAGTAATTACAAATGTTTAATTTCTGTTAATTTTGAATGAGTTACTTACCGTCACAGTACAGCAAACATTTTCCCTTATAGCACCAAGACAGCCCAATAAAAATATGACCAATGTTGCCACACCAATGCCTATGTAAGCATAGGCTGTCATGGAACCAATCTCATTTGTATCGTAGGAACATAGTATATAAATGCCAAATGATATAAGCACCAAGGCAAGGAGCTGAAAAGAGAGATTGTTTTAATACATATTTTTAATTTATAATGGCTTATGTGAGGACAATAAAATAATTTGAACATAAACCATCTTTTTTATCTCTAACACATCGAAGTTTGTTTAACTTCTTTTTCCGACTTCTTTAAATAAAAATAAATTTTGTAAATACTCTGAAATTTATTTCGAGTTATAATCAGACCAACAGTAAGTAAAGTAAAAATTGGATCGAATTCTCCTTAATTAGCTTGAATAACATTTTTGATTCCAAACTCACTGTACAATGATTCAAATAATTTGACTATTAAATATAACAATATATTATTAAAGAAATTGATTGCCTATAAGCTTTAGCCTAAATCTGATAAATTAAACAATGGCATAACAGATAATCTGGTGTCTTTTCTTCGATCACCAGCAAATGCAATCAACAGGAATTTCAGCATGGTAAACCCTGAAACTACTTGAGCGTTTGGCTTGCTCTATGTCATCTTATAGTCCAGACCACTGAAATAGCTTTAATAGTTACCTGATTGTAAAAATATTGAATTCTTTTTCCATTTTAACAGCGAGATTATGGCTATTAGGATGACGAAAAATTCCGCTTAAAGTATTGAAGCACAGCCGCTAAAATGACAATATTAACAAATCCATAAGTCTATAAAGATTGTCTATACCAGTCATTGATAGCGGTTTTATTACTACATTTGATTATAATATTGCCAAAATTGCATCAAGTAAATTCCAATTATTCAGGAAATATACATCAAATGAATTTAGGGCCGGATATATAGAAACTTAAACGAAATCTAATAAAATCCGTGACATTACATTTACTTAGAGTAGAAAAGGTTGTACTGCGATTCCTCCAAACAAATTATCAGACCCAAAAGAAAGTTCTATAAAATGATCATATAATTAGTCATTTAACTTGTATACATCATACATCAAAAGAAGTAGACTTTTCAAAATGTATTAGCCTCTTGATCACAACTCTTAGCTCAGTCTGCAAAACAAACTCAGAAAACTTTATAAAGCTATTTTATAACTTATCTGGACATTTGGGTTACAGCTATGCGAAACGTCTCACAACTTTTATATAAAAATCTTACATAAACTTAAGTTTAAAAATATTCTTAACACTCTTTGATTTATTTCCAATAAATCAGTATTTAACGACTTAAAAGAACTATATATTAAAGGTGAGAACAACGAGCTTAACAAAAAATACCTGAACGCGCTAAGTAACCGTACAATTTTCACACCAATATGTTTTCTAAATAGCACAAATAGACCTGGTAGACGTAAAAGATATATTTGAATCAGAAAATGATAGCCCATCAATTTATATAGATGTATGATCCATTCATGCAGTTACTTCTGTCTCTGAACAGAATATTTTATATATCATTTGCGGAATATTACCTATTGATAGATTAATCATAGAATTTTATATTAAAGAAAAGATTAATTGTATACATATATATTTTTTTTTATATTAATAAAATATTTTTTTAATTATTATTATTTTTCTTTGTAGTGAGGATAATAAATCATAATTTTTGGAACTGATTTTATATAAAATGTTATTGAGATAAAATTCTGTTTACTCGAAACGGGCAGATGAGTCAATTTTTCAAACATTGCGATTTGAAATTAATATTTTAAAATTTTTGAATAATAAATTTTCTTTTAATATCACTGCGGCAGTATCCATTCGGGGCACCCCATTTTTAGGCTCTTTCAGCAAAGGAAAAACATTGAACACATTGCTCTCAACTTCAAGTTATTTTTTTTTTCTAAGTGTTAAAGTTGATTATAAGAAATTTATTTCAACAAAAAGTATTAAAAATTTTGCAAATTTTAATATTAAGATATTTTAGTTTTGTGCATTTTTAATTAATGAAATAATGCCTCAAATATTTGTTTATAACAGAAATTGGCTTTTTTGTTTGTGTTAATATCTTCAAATCTTGAAACTTAGTTATTGTGTTTTTTTTATTTATTTTTAATTTATAGAAAAAAAATTTAAAAACAAGATTAACGAGTAAAACAAGCTGAATTAAAAAATTAATTTAGTTAAATTATTTTAAAATGATAAATCAGAATGAATAAATCAACAACTAACAAACTGCAACAAAACGTTCCTATAAACATCAATGCTAACATCATCGATAGATCATCTGTTTTTCAAGGAGTAAGATAGAGGTGAATTCTGACGCTCTGAGAAGATCTAACAAGATTCGATACCAACGTGGATCAAGAAGTACAAGTGAATGGTACGCTTATTAATAACATAAAATATGCAAACTATACCAATAGTTAACAGTCTATATGAATCAGTAAAGAAGATTAGTTTATGTAGAGAAATATTTGTTTTCCAAATAATCACAAATAATATAAAAAATTATGATTATAATCAAAAACAGTAATACAAATTTAATTCTTATCCAAATACTATTAAAGGAGTGCAATTTCAATTGTCTTTGGAATTGTTCCAAATGTTCTAATGTGTTTCCACAAAAAAGTATTGAACTATCATCGTATCAATTGCAAAACCACAAGCTCCGGCATTTCTAATAATTTTGTCTAGCGAATAATCTGTCTTTCTTCGTCTTCAATCTGCCGTAGGAGAAATCAATCCGAGACTCTAGTCACGTCAAATATTAGCATTAGCAAACGGCATTGATAGAAACGGGAGATCTGAAACAGTTGTACAAGAATTCATCGCCGATGCATATATTCTTGGGTAATATCCTCTTGCAATGGAATTGTTGTTGAAGGGCGTCAAGATCGAACATCAGGCGTAATGAGGATTATGAATATGTGAATATTTTAATTTATTTAAAGCTTGAAGCAGGTAAGTTTATGATTGCATATTAATTGATATATATATGTATATGTGAGTGAAATTTTTCTAAATGTCAGTTTTGATTACTAAAACCAAAATTATTTCATATGAAAGAATAAGTCATTAAATAGATTTGCACATTCCAGATAATATGGAGATGTCAATATGTATCTAAAATTAAAATGTAAGTAAAAAAACAGGCCGGAGAAAAAAATGTATTATTATCTTTAAAGTACTTGGTTAGATATATATGTACAAGTTATCTAACAAATAGTAAATGGTTTAATTCAAATATAATATATTTTAATTATAGATGTTTAATTTTAGAGTTTTGTATATAAAAAAATTTATATATGTAAAATATACATTTACATATGCAAAACTAATAAAACAAACTATAATTTTTCTAATTACTTTAGTTAATATACACTCATGAAAAGAAACCTATTGTCATGAATTCTATCCAAAGTCATTATAGTAAATTTAGCATTATTGTTTATTAAAATGATTAAGTTAAAATGGTATAATTTCCATTTCATTTGCAATTAAATAATAAGTGACTCAAGCCGTCAATTTTTATTTGATAATCTAACACATATAGCCAATAAAAGCTGCCAGATAATATGTCTGCGAGCACTGCATCCCATGAAATGTGAACTCACGTTAATTAAAAAAATTTATTTATATAACAATGTATGACACTAACTACACGTTAAATTAAAATTAGTAGAATTAATGCATAATAATTAATGCAAAAAAAAATTATTAATAAGTTTATAAATAATAAATCTAACCTTTTTTAAAGCCTTTGAGATATATACTAGTAATATATACTAGTTAGCAAATTAATTATTAGGTATTTGAATTTTTTAGAGGAGATCTAGAAACACTACAACCTAGATATATTAAATATGCTTAGTATAAAATTAACTCGATTTATTAGTTCATAAAATGGTGTTATATGCAAAGAAAATCAAATTTCTTTCAGCTTTGAAGATTTTATTGACCTTTTGACACTTAAAATTGTTATTTTATTTTTACTATATGTAGTCATGAATTAATTATAAGTATTAGTACAAGATATATACTAACGATTTTAAATATAAAATAAAATAAAAATATCTCCCTTACATTTGGAATTCAAATTTTTTAATTGGCCATTTATTATAATTTATTTTAAATAGCTCAGCAATTTTCTTCCGCTTAAACTAATTATTATAAAAGTTTTAAAAATATT